GCTGATTTACCCGTGGAATTCCATTGATCTTTGGTGCTGTTGTCCAGCTGCGGTTTTCCCTTAGGCCGAAAAAATAATACTTGAGTTTACGATTATTTTAGCTCCGGACGGTCGGTCGGATTATTTATTTTTCGTGACGTCAAGGTGGGGCCAAGGTATTATACGGTCAATGTTGGGGCGTAAGAAGGGATAGAACCCGTGCCGGACTGGGCCCACCTGTCCACCTGTTCGTGACAGGTGGGCCTAAGCTCATTAAAAAAAAGTGGGCCTTAGCCTATAAAGAGAAAAGTAAAAAAGAAAAGAGAGGTTGAGGAAAGAAAAGAAAAGAAAGAAGGAAGGAGAGGACAGGACACAGGACAGGAGAAAGAAAAGATAGGAAAAAAATGACTGACAAACAACACAAAAAAAGAAGTGTACTACAAGGAAAGAACTTTATGAGTTTTACCTCATTATACCGAGAACCGTGTAATTCATCTTTTAACCTCTACTTAAACATACATTATGCAAGAGCAAAATCTGATTATCGCAAGTCTTAATTTAGGCTTCAGATGTTATAGAAATTATAAATTAGATCTTTATTTAAACAACAAGCCCAAAATCAACTCTGTAGACCCACGGATGGCTCGGCTACAGCTCGGATTTAAATAGGATTTCACTTATTGATAAATTCAAATATGGCGCACCCTGGTGAGAATACGTCAGTTAGATCGAGGCTAAATGATAGAGTGTACTTAGCGAGGCCGCTGTAGAGCCTTTCCGCATGCCATTGAAAACTTTACTTGATAATCGAGATATGTAGGTGGAGTTAACGCCTGTCAATCAAACGATCGGTCAAGGTGAAGGCATATTTCACTACTATTTCTAGTCAAATATTACAACGATGATAACTATGTTCAGAATAAAGTAATTTGACTGAAATTTTCAATATATTCTTCTTTCATCATCTACTCTTGAACTGTTATAGCAAGAATGGCCAACTCTCTATAAAAATCTCCCATAATGTATCTTTAATTCTTCATAAGTCATTATCGCCGAAATAATCGCCAAAAACTTGCCAGTTTTGAGTTTTTCGCGAAAAATTAATCTCTTAGGTTATTCTGTTATCTAATTGTATCAGGAAATCAAAAATTTGCCTTCTTCTGCTTTGGTCTGAAATGCTTGGGGAATGGATTTGCGGTTGTCAAATTTCAAAATTGTCCGGGTGGGAGAACCCCCATAAAATTGTGCCGATATCAATGAGAGAATTATATTTTAAAGTTAACATTTTAATATCATGCTCTCAAAAATATCATGCTCTGATTGCTCTCTTTATAATATCATGATCTTATATAACTAACATTCATAACGTTTGTAACTTTAATCTCTATTGACTTGGCAAGATTCGATCTTTTATTAATGAGGATACTGACAATTAAACTATGGTAAATTCCATGGTCATCTCGCGAATAGATTACTGTAATTCCCCCATATTTAAATTGCCAAAATATAAGACAGAACAATAACAGAAAGTACCGGATTGTTACCTGGTCCTCACTTTTTTGTCAATTAATTAATATTCCCGAATCACCCGTTTACTTACGTGAGCTCATTGACCACTATAAAGCCAATGTTACCTCGTAAGTACGAGATAGTTAACTCGTGATTATAATATCAGAATAGTTTTTTTCCCATTTGATTGTCCCCGATGGCCTTCCGTATCGATCGGCTAATACGCGGATATTATACATCGCGCTCGCTTACATGCTCCGGGCTTACTCGACCAGTATCCTCGACTACAATTCGAAATGTGCAGTGGGAACGGGTAATCGAACGGCGCGGCGCTTTTTTTAGGTATCAAAATGGAAGATAAACGCCGCCAAACAATTATGCTTGGTGTTCTGATAAATAACGGCGAGCAGACAATAATCTACCAACAAACTTTCATTGGTACAGACTTTTTCATTGGCATCTTATTGGGAAAATTAAATCAGGAGAAGCGAAATAAAGCCCCAAGGATAGAATATTATGCAGAACATATAGTCCGGCTCTACAATCCTTAGAAGACTTTAAATCACACTTTCGTTTAACCAATGTAACATTTGATAACTTTGCTAACGAGCTCCATGTCTTACCAGAAATGCAGTTAGGAGGGCAAGGTTATGGTTGCAGCACACCAGTTACAATTCCAAAACAAGCAGTGGTGTTTCTGTGGCATATTGCTACCCTAGATACATTTCGCTCACTATCCGATAGATTTGGAATATTATTATCTAAACCAACAACGCAATGTATATGCCACAGAGTTTCTAATGAAAACAACTATTAAATGGCTATTACCTCACAAACGTCAAGAAATTTATAACTATTTTGCTGAATATTGTAAATTTCCCTATGGTGGCTGATAGTGGCCATGTTAAATCTCGCCCTTTTCATAGCGCGACAACACGACATCACGACAGTATTGACGCAATCATACGACACTTAACTCTGTCGTATCATCGTGTTATTTTTATCGTAACGTCGAGATGTCGACTTATTGTCCTAGTCTCTTTCTACAAGTCACAAAAATACAGCTGTACTCATTACATCAGATACATATAAATAGATACATATAAATAAGACTCGTCAAAAGAGATAATAGGAAAACGTTGATTCGTTTTCTAAAAAAAAATGAAACATTTTGCGCCCAAAATTGAATTATATTTGGTATTATATTCAAAAAATCTAGAATTATAATAGCAGGACAAAAGTGAGTCAGCTATGTTAATTCCTTGAATAAGAAGTGGTGTCGGTAGGTATCGAACAAGTATGCATTGCCTCGTGTACGACACCCACCAATACTTATAGATTACTGAAGCGATAGTTTAGAAGCGATTTCAGAAGATTTCCAATTTATTTTATTAGAGTGGGAAGGGGATTATATAAAACCTCAAATCAGACCACATAAAATCACCGCATTGGTGTAGCACGCCATCCCAATAAGTGCAGGGGAGGTTTTTTATGAGGTGAAGAAAGCGATTTGCAGCTGTTATTGACCTTATCGCATATTCATCCGTTTGGCATCACTAATGGGATCGGGGCCTAGATGATTAAAAATAGGCCCAGTATTGCCTTCAGCTATGAACACACTCCGAAAGTCCCCTACGCACCCCCCCCCCTCTTATTTTGTTTAACAAATAATTTCGGAATCAATAAAATGGTAGGTCCCTATCAATGATGTTTGACACGACTGGAAATTAATGTGTCTAAAATTGATTAAACAACATAGGGTAGTAAATATTACATTTTGAATCCGTATCAATGATACATTTAGGGTAGTAAATATTACATTTTGAATCCGTATCAATGATACATTTACTCAAAATGTTCCTTCCAATGGATCACCATTTAACTTGAAAACAAGGGAAGCAGCCGATCGAAGAAAAAAAGATTTTAAAAAACAAGTTTCAATATGATAGTAGTGGTTCGGTCATGCATTTACATCTGTGGGTGTCATCCTTTCTTTGAAAGTAATGATTGTGCCAGATTTGAACAAAGTCCATCTAGATTCGCGGCCTGTAGGTAAAGTGTTGACAGATAAAACGTAAAAAAAAAAAACCAGACCTATAAAAATATATTTTCTAAAACTATTTTAATTTTGAAATTATATTATTTTCACATGTGCTAAGTGTTTTAGTGAATAGTTATAGAAAGGGTCTTGTAGATTAAGACTATAGCGCATGTGCACTGTGCAGTTTTAAACTTCCGAGACGACAAGTCGATGATACGACAGTTTCGCTTTTTGTCGTGCCGTCGTATCATCGACTTGTCGTGGCGATAAGTCGATGATACGACGGCACGACAAAATCGGGTCGATGACACGACAAAATCACGCGATCTTACGACAGTTTGTTCTGTCGTAAGATCGCGTGATTTTGTCGTAAGATCGTGTGATTTTGTCGTGTCGTCGTATCATCGACTTACAGTGGCGATAAGTCGATGATACGACGGCACGACAAAATCACACGATCTTACGATAAAATCGGGCGATCTTACGACAGAACAAACTGTCGTAAGATCGTCTGATTTTGTCGTATCATCGACCTTATTTTGTCGTGCTGTCGTATCATCGACTTATCGCCACGACAAGTCGATGATACGACAAAACACTAAACTGTCGTATCGTCGACTTGTCGTCTCGGAAGTTTAAAACTGCACATGCGCTATAGTCTTTTCTTTATCTACAAGACCCTTCTATAAATATTCGCTAAAACACTTAGCACATGTGAAAACAATATAATTTCAAAGTTAAAAGAGTTTAAGAAAATATATTTTTATAGGTCTGGGGTTTTTGTTTTTGTTTTTTTTTTTACATTTGATCTGTCAACACTCTACCTACAGGCCGCGAATCTAGATGGAATTTGTTCAAATTTGGCACAATCATTACTTTCAAAGAAAGGATGGCACTCTCGGAGGTAAATGCATGACCGAAGCACTACTGTCACATTGAAACCTGTTTTTTTTTTTTTTAAAAATCTGTTTTCTTCGATCGACTGTTACCCTTGTTTCAAGTTAAATGATGATCTATTGGAAAGAACGTATTGAGTAAATGTACGTTATCACTAATATGGATTCAATATGTAATATTTCTCATGTTGTTTAATCAATTTTTGACATATTATTTTCCAGTTGTATCAAACATCATTGATACCATTTTATTGATTCTGGAATTATTTGTAAAACTAAATAAGAGACGTGGGGGTGGGGGGTATGAGGCTTTTAGGGTGTATTCATAGTTGAAGATATTACTTGGCCTATTTTTACTCATCTAGGCCTCAATCCCATTAGTGATGTCAAACGGATGCAAGCCTATATGCGATAAGGTCAATAACGGCTGCGACTCGTTTTCTCCACCTCATAAAAAAAACTCCTGCATCTATTGGGGTGACGTGGGGGGGGGGGGGTATGAGGCTTTTAGAGTGTGTTCATAGTTGAAGATATTACTGGGCCTATTTTTACTCATCTAGGCCTCAATCCCATTAGTGATTTCAAACGGGAGAGAGAGAGAGGGAGAGAGAGAAATGGGGTTTAACGTCCACTCGACACAAATTAGGTCATTTCGGGACTAACATGATTTAATTTTATTTCAATAAATCGTTTGCGCGTAGGGGTCTTTAGCAGTGGGAGGAAACCGGAGAAAACCCACGAGGTTGGACAGGCGACCCTACTCCTTGTCACGTACAACCGGGGATTCGAAACCACGCCAGTTGACTCAATGACAGGCTGCGAATCGTTTTATCCATCTCATTCAAAAAAACTCCTGCAACTATTGGGGTGACGTGCTGCACTATGATAAAAATAATGCTGTGATTTTAAAGAATGTGGCCCGATTTGGTTTTTCTACAATCACCTTCCCACCCTGTCTTCTGATATCTCTTTTAAACTATCGCTCCAGTCATCTATAAATATTGGTGGGTGTCGTACACATGGCAATGAATGCTTACTTGTTCGATACCTCCCGACACCACTTTTTCTTCAAGGAATTAACTTAGCTAACTCACTTTGGTCCTGCTATTGTAATTCTAGATTTTTTAATATAATACCAAATATAATTCACTTGTGGGCACAAAATGTTTCATTATTTTGAGAAAACAAATAATTAATCAACGTTTTCCTACTATCTTTTATATTTATCAAATCTGCTACTTAGGCCTATATATGATGTAATGAGTACAGCTGTATTTTTGTGACTTGTAGAAAGAGACTAGGACAATAAGTCGACATCTCGACGTTACGATAAAAATAACACGATGATACGACAGAATGAAGTGTCGTATGATTGCGTCAATACTGTCGTGATGTCGTGTTGTCGCGTTATGAAAAGGGCGAGATTTAACATGGCCACTATCAGCCACCATAATTTCCCGGAACAATCGGACCTGTCGGTGTGGCCGTCATATCCGAATTAAAGCGCCCAAGATGAAGGACAATCGAATATCATACATCAACCGCAAAAAGTTCACAGGGTCGTACTCCAGGCTGTATGTGATCATCGAATTCGATTCACTCATGTTCACACCGACTGGTCTGGGTGTATACACATGACGCTTATAACTATTTTGCTGAATATTGTAAATTTCCCGGAACAATCGGACCTGTCGGTGTGGCCGTCATATCCGAATTAAAGCGCCCAAGATGAAGGACAATCGAATATCATACATCAACCGCAAAAAGTTCACAGGGTCGTACTCCGGGCTGTATGTGATCATCGAATTCGATTCACTCATGTTCACACCGACTGGTCTGGGTGTATACACATGACGCTTATAGGGTTTTGACGAATTCTTGAATTTCAGGAGGGAGAATTCCTACTTGGGGACCCAGTCTGCCCTCTACAGCCATGGCTTATGACTTCACACAATGATTTGGGGAAATTGACCCGTAATCAAAAAAAAAAAATATTTAATAAACAGCTCATTTCTGCGATAGAACGTGCCTTTGGGCAACTGAAAGGACGCTGAGTGTCCTTTTCTAACTCCTGGAATCGTTGCACCAAGATGTAGAATAGATGTAAAATAAACACAACACTACTGTGGAATGGAAATATGGCATTTTTAATCGGAGCAAATTGTCAAGAATAATTCTTCCGTCGCCTAAACTTAATCTGCAAATATAACTTCGATCAAAAAATTTAATTGCTGCCATGTTGAATAATTGGATTATGGGTTACTTCGGCCTGGCGCGAGTAAGCCGTTTAAATGACGTCATCGGTAACCCGAACGCACTCGTGGAGGCTCATTCCAAATTCCAAATTCCAAATGCGAAATTCCAAATTCATGTATTACCAATCAAATAGCAAATTGGCAGCCCCCGTCAATTAAACAAATTAGAATTTAAATAAATTGTAATTTTACACAACTAAATTACTAGATTCGAAATTTCAAATGCGAAATTCCAAATTCGACATAATCACGTGACAGTACTATCATCATGGCTGCTGTAGAGAAGATAATACGCCCACAGCAGCTAAATCGTCCGGACAGTCAACAAGAGTTGTCGCATATTTTTTCTTTTTTCGGTAATGAAACATTTATAATACACTAAAATCTGATTAAGAGTAACAACTTATTAACTTCAATGAAAATCAATATACTTGTTCGTCTCAAGACCTTGAACTCTGTGTATCAATCTGAAGTCAAGCGGGTGATAACTTTAGCATCTAGAGCGTCACAAGATTTTTCAAAGTGACCAAGGGCCATAACTTTGGCAGTAATTATCGGAAATCGCTGAAAATAAACAGGCTTCTTTGTCTCGTGACCTTAAACACTGTGTATAAATTTAAAGTCAATCAAATATTAACTTTAGCCTCTAGAGCGTCCACAAGATTTTTTGAAGTGATCAAGGGCCATAACTCTGGAAGTAATTATTGGGAATCGGTGAAAATCATTAGGTTTCTTCGTCTCATGACCTTTTAAACACTGTGTATAAATTTAAAGTCAATCGGATATTAACTTTAGCCTCCTAGAGCGTCCAAAAGCAATTGTGGGCGCTTGACGGACGGACGGACGGGGCGACGACAATATACGACCACATTATACGATCGCATTTGGAATTTGGAATGAGCCTTCTGGGCTTTCGTAGACCCACGCATCCGATAGGTAAACTGGCACTAATTAGTTGTGTAAAATTACAATTTATTTAAATTCTAATTTGTTTAATTGAGGGGTTCTGCCAATTTGCTATTTTATTGGTAAGACATGAATTTGGAATTTAGCATTTGGAATTTGGAATGAGCCTTCTGGGCTTTCGTAGGCAAACGTTCTAATGCTGGTTAAAAGTATACGGTGAAGTAAATAGAGCGAGTGTTTATCTTTTGATAATATTCAAAGACGAGTTATAGTGTATAGTATAGAATTGAACTTGCTATTGGTGTATACATCTACTAATATATCATGTGTGTAACCTGAGCAAGTCCTAAAACTCGCTATATTATATAGGCCTAGTAGGTTACAAGGCATAGAGTTCGAACATAAGTCATAAGCCATAGCGCTACAGAGAGCACGGCAGATATGGAATTAACAGGCGATGAGGAGATTACTGTAACAAAAGTCAAACTAAAGCGGTCAATTAATTTTGCTTCAACAACTTCTATATTATTAACGAATATTGGTGGTTCTGCTATTTTCATTTCACCATCAGCCATTCTGCATTATTCTGGTTCACCAATAGTGGCACTTATACTCTGGTTAATATCAGGAATTTTGAATGCAGGACTGGCTTTCTGCTTTGTAGAAATAGGACTTTTATTTCCAAAAGCTGGAGGTCCATACTTTTACATTTTAGAAGTCTTTGGTTCATTGTATGGCTTCATTTTCCTGTGGGGATTTGTTTCATTAATATTTGCATCATCATGGGCCATATCATCTTACTCAGCAGCAATTTATTTAGTGACAGCTGTAAGTCCAAGTTGTCCATATCCAGATTTAGCCGTGAAGATTTTGGCAGGATGGATTATAGGTAATTATGTATTTGACATTTTCTAACTAACACTTGGACCCCCTGCTTATATGGATTTCATTTTGATGGATATGTTCTGTATTTTATTTCAATGCAATAATAATATTTTCAGTAACATTAGTGGTTTTGAATTGTACCTACATGAAATTGGTAACAAAAATACAAGGTATTTTAAGTATGGCAAAGATTTTAGCATTGTTGTTAATTATTGTGACCGGGTTATTACAGTTGTCAAATTCAGGTGAGTTTTGAATTGAATCCAAATATTTAGTTGCTTTCGGTTCTGGACTCAAGCCTGGAAATATGGCACCTGTCACTACAATGCCAGGCACAAATTCATACTTCGTCAGACACAATTCCTCTGCTGCCTGTCATTTTGTGTGGCACAGATTTGTCATTCTACCGTTTTTTTTTATTGATATTAATACATATCGGACACAAAGATAACAATGTCAACTACTAGTTCAGTAGTGCATGACATGTACCCCATTTCATTTATTTTGAGTTCATTTGATCGAATACCAAATACTCTATATACCAGTGTTCACTTTAAAGCTGAAAACACATTTATATTCGTAGGAATTATACAGATCATTAAGTTTGTGTGGTGAAAATGCATGGACTGGAATTTATGTGAGCTTTGATCAATAATAGATGGCCATACAAAAAACAGTACCGTAGAACCGAATAGACTTATCAATAAATCATCATAAATTAGGAGATTAAACATACATTATGCAAGAGCTAAATCTGTGTATTGCAGGTCTTTCTTTAGGCCTGAAATGTTATCTGAATTATTAATTAGACATTAATTCACTTATCCAGACCATAATCAACTCTCGATGTCATCGCTAGCCTGCGATATTTACTGGATTAGGATCTGATTTGCTGCTCAACTTTCATTCATGATTTAATCATGAAATGGATAATCAAGACTATGTTTTTTTATTGTACCGAGGCTAGTGAGAACTGCCAGCTCTTTATCTAATCTCCCATAATATATCTTTAACTAAATGATCATATGGAAGTTGAATCCTGTCAAAAACTGACACTATATTTTGATATTCAGAGAAAATATTGTTGAAGATTTGAATACTTTCAGATTTTTACATTTGTTTTGTCAGAAAAAAATAACTTGGTAACACTAATAAATATAGAAGATAGATCTATTGATGTTGGGAGCTTAGCACTGGGATTGTTTGCTGGTTTTTTCAATTATGGTGGTTGGTGAGTACATTTTTATGCACCAATATTTTAATGTGGTCGAATACTGCTGTCCCCTCTGTGCATCCTGCTGTCCTTCTGTCGTTCACGATTCTGAATAGCACAATATTTCTTCATGAAATATGTGGGTCGTTAACCTCATTAAAATGAATAACCTATTGATTTGTTTTGCTGCCTGGCAATAATTGTAAATTGCTACTGGTATGTACAAGCTTATTCTCTTAGCCCCCCCCCCCCACACACACACAGCCCCCACATGTGTACTAATACTTTAATTAAAGGAATTAATAGATTGTTGTTATATTTTAAGGTCAGGTTTTATCAGGTATTTGTTAGTATTTCATTCTGAGAAGCACTGGCTGTCTGGCTCACTATGGTGTTGGCGAAAGTTCCTCTGGATTTTCACCATGGTTTCCCGTTGTCAGTGGTGCAGGATGGAGGGTCCGGTAAGAACGGAGGCCAGTCAGTTGGATAGAAAAAACAAAAAAACAAGGTCCTGTAAACCCTTTGGTGTACAGAAAAAAGAACCTATGCCAGTTAGAATTTGATGAAGAGTAGGCAGAATCACAGCCCTGGGAGAAATTTCCCTCATAGCACATTGCATGATCTATGCCTGTCTTCATTTGCCCGGTTGGTGCAGATGGTAGGACGTCAAACCTCATCTCATGGTTTTCCGAAAAAAAGTCATCAAAGCTTCCTATTCATTCACTACATGAAAAACAAGATTTGAAAAAAAACCAATCTGATTGAAACACAGATCCTATTTTGTTTCGTTTTTTACAGTTCAAAATTTCATTTTACTTGTCTTTACTGCACTAGGATCTGGAAGAGTTGTTATATAACCTGCTTTCTGGTTAATGTGTGGGATTAGCCAATGAAACGGTCTGTTGCAGTGAGTTCTTGGCGTGTGATGCACAGAACAGTTGCTGTGGGTATCCTGCTGATTGGTTAATCAAATGTCTGATGCAATGGGGTCAAAAGCCGCCCGTATGACCCCTGATGCAACCTCCCACTACAGCTGGTCAGATTTTCATGTAGTAGAGGCCATCGAAAGTATAAAAAAATGAAATGAAATATAGATCTGTATTTTAAACAGATTGGCAAAAAACCTTTTTAAAGTGAAAATTGCATATTTTTTAATCACTACTATACAATCATAGGGATCGTTCTAGCACTTAAAAAAGCATTCACATAAAAATTGGAAATAATTTCTACTTACTGACAGTATTTGGAATTTGTATCAATTCTTTTTACTGAACAACTAAATCTACACAAGTTGACTCGATTGGCAAGGTCCGTGGTTAAACAGATAAGAATAATGATGACTGGTTGAGCGAGACTTTTCAAACCTGCACACATGATAATAACACTGTAAAGTCAAAGTTGGATTTAAAAAGAAAATGATATATTTGCCAATTTCTCGACTGACACAAATGAATTATAGGATTTAGAATTATTCGTTAACAGGGTAGGACTATGTGTATAAATGCCATGTATTTTAAGGCTTTATTTTAGCATATTTTAAACATTTGACTTAAAAAAAAATACAATTCTCGCTTTAAATTATTTACAGTATGATAATCACAATGAACATAAAAAATTGTTATTCCTGTGACAAATTCAAATATACACCCATCTACTGTGTTTTGGGCAATAGCTAACAGTGAATATAGATGTAACTCCTGCAATGATGTAACAATGTTTAGAAGTGTGTATAATAAAGACCAGTATACATTAATCAGCTGAGTAGAATATGTAGTGGGAGTTATATGTACCGGTAACTTTAATTTAAATAACCAAATTAAGTTGCCAATCGTTCATATATTTATTACCCGTACAGGCCTCCATAATTACCAACCTATCACAGCATCGCGTTCGGATTACGCCGAATCTCGCCTTCATATTCTGCTTCGCTTTCAGAAGTCGTTTGCTAGCGTCAGGACAACTGAAAAAAGGAGTTCAACCTCCTTCCTCCCCACCTCCAGCCTTTGTGATATTTAATTATGAAACTGACACAAGTTATGGTAGCTATCAGATTTGAGATATCCCTATGTTATAAATATTCCAATATTGCCAAAGATTTAAATTGTTATGATTATAATTAGACCTTAATAAATGCTAATGTTAATAATTTGAGTTTATTTAAATTGCCCAATAACTCACAGTGATTATAACTATCTGCATAAAAATAAACACTTGTCTATAATATAAAATTTGGGATTCTTTCAGTTACCTTTGTTTTGGCCTTTGAAAACAATATGGTAACAAACCTGCCTTTTAAGACTAGAATATTAAAATGGCTACAAAATGTGCGAAGTAAGACTGTCGCTTTGTTACACTTTTTTTATTGTTGCTTATGTAAGGGATAAGTATTAGAAAATATTTGAGTAAGAACAAGAAAAACATGATGGCGAGTAAGGTATTTGTCCAGAGAGTTTCCTATAAACCCCTTGAAAAGCATTGTTTAATACCTTAGTAATTAAGAAACCCACTCATGGCTGCAGCTGTTTGATGAAAGTATAACAGAAAAATATGTAAAGAAATTATTTCGTTTTTATTTATCATTAAAGGCAGGTTATTACAATTCTTATGGAAGAAGTCCAAAACCCATCAAAGTAAGTTTTGTTTTATGACAGAGAATTAATTGTGCTGTAGTGTGCTGTGAGGGATATTTCTTCTGGACAGCTGTGCGTCTGGTTTCCAGTCCTTACTGATAATGAACTAGTTATGGTTAGTGGACATGTGACCCAAATTCTTTTTCAATAGCCAAAAACAGTTTTTATGTACCAATATTGAAATTGTGTGGTTCATTATCATAAGCTCCATCAGTAAATCTGTTGATCTGACAGTAAATCCATCCATTAAAGTTGTTATTTTAGAATATATATACATTCTTTAGGTAAAAATGACCTGAAATTATTTTCAGAGTTGTTGCCCTTGATTGTATCCCAATATCCTTTGCTTGAAATTTAGATAAAGTTGTATTATCTTCTTGGAATTTGTAAGATTTGTCAAAAAAACCAGATCAAACTAAAACAAATTCTGATAATTACGTCTGGCTTTATTCCCTTTGCTCAATTACCAGAGGTGGGAACTCCAGTCCTACGACTTGGAATCAAGTCCAACTTAAGTCACATCAATGACCCGACTTGAAATATTTATTGCGACACGAGACTCGACTCTGATTATACGGTTGTGACGATTTGTGACTTGAAAGAGCTTAGGACTTGAGTTGTAGCGAGGGGACTTAACTCCAACTTACCTTATTTGCCATGAATTGCTGACTCTTTTGATGAACTGGTGACTTGAATAGGACTTGGCCTTTGTGAAGATTTGGGACTGGACTGGAATCGGTACTAAAGTCAGCGACTTGGGACTCGACTCAGACTTGACTTGCAGTGATTAGGGGCTCAAGGTCCTGCGACTTGTTCCAACCTCTGTTAATACATTTTATAAAATCTTGTAATATAGGTATAGTTGTTCATGACACATAGATTGTCAATTATCAGTAATTTAGTGCAAAGTATAGTTCTTTTAATTTGTGTTATTAAATTAATTCTTTCCTTACAGAACATTACCCAAATCAGTGTTTTTATCATTCAGCATTATGATCTGTCTGTATGTATTAGCTAATTTTAGTTATGTATTGCTACTCACACCTGCACAGATGTTTTCATCAGATGCTGTAGCTATTGTAAGTAGCCTATTGACAATTTGTTTGTGTGCATAATGTAAGTCTTAATACAATCTTAATAGAATTTAAAATAGCATCACACATAGCTGTGATTAAAAATATTCAAATGGGTACATGGTTAAATTTTGTGCTTTTTATATGTGAATTTCAAAGTTATCTCTCCAAAATATACCCCAAAGATATTGTTGTGTTAGTAAATACTGCAAAAGTTATCAAACCAGATTGATTTAGAAACTCTAGGAAAAACATAAACATTGGGTAATTATTCTTCGCTCTAATAAAATCTTTTTGAGAAAATCTAGAGATAAGGGAGCATAATTTATAGGTGACACCATAGAGCAGGCGGTCCCATGTAACCTCATTGTTTACCTTACAGCATTGTTTTCCTGTACATTCATTACGTTCTGGTGTGTTAACAAATGTTAGTTTTTTTGTTGTTGAAATGGAATATGATCCCGATACGTTGAAATACGGTTCTCTTACCAATGATAAGGACACATAGAACCAAGTTTTTACTAGCGACGCCTGGTGTGAATTTTTTCAGCGAGGACGTCCATTGAGCAGTCTTTAAAAATTTTGTAATAAAATGATTTTCCTTTTTTAATAATAGCAACTGTTGTAATTTTCAGTTGGCAATGCAGCAGGTTCATCCAGTACTTGGTGTTGTGGTGTCTATATTAGTGGCCTTTTGTTCTATAAGTGTCCTAAATGTTTTAATTATGGGACAGCCCAGGTATGTATCAGTGAATCAATCTCACTTTTAAAAAGATGTTCCATTAAAGATACATTATGGGAGATTAGATAGAGTTGGCAGGTCTCACTATAATAGTTAAAAACTAAATAATGTTAAGGGAATTTGCGGAAAATTTCAATCAAATTGATTCACTCTGAACCGAGAATTTAGCGATTGAATTTTCAGCCTAGCCTCCCTCGATCATCATTACTAAAGTCGGTACGATAAAAAACATAGTCTCGATTATCCATTTCGTGATTAAATCATGAATGAAAGTTGAGCAGCAAATCGGATCATAATCCCGTAAACATTGCAGGCTAGCGTTGACATCGAGAGTTGATTATGGTCTGGATAAGTTAATTAATTAATAACTGAGATAACATTTCAGGCCTAAATAAAGACCTGCAATAGGCAGATTTAGCTCTTGCATAATGTATGTTTAATCAAATTTTACATAATCTTGAGTACATATTAGCATGGATTAGGCTGTGAGAAATGTAAATTGGGCATCATTACTTTAAGGCCGGGGAGTGCTGAAAAACCATAGGGTTTCTCCTCCCATGACCGAAATGCTTCATACCAATTTTGAAGTAAATCTTATCAAAACTGTAGCCTTTAATTTATTGGTAAGACGTTCTGCAAAGGAGAGGTAACTCCAGAACCAAAGTTTGCAGAACAGTGAAAACCAATATGATTCACCCTCTCATGACCCCAATGCATCATACCAAATTTTAGTCTCGGTCACCCAGAACCTCCTAGTCTTCAACGTACGGAGGGTTTGGGACCGTTGTCAATATTTGACGAAAAGTCCATTGCCCATGTGTAACCAGGAGTTTGGTTTTTATACGCCCACATTGAAATGTAGTCGTATATTGTCGTCGCCCCCGTCCGTCTGTCGGTCTGGCGTTCACAATTGATTGTGGACGCTCTAGAGGCTAAAGTTAATATCCGATTGACTTTAAATTTATACACAGTGTTTAAGGTCATTGATTTTCAGCGATTTCCGATCATTACTGCCAGAGTTATGACCCTTGACCACTTCAAAATATCTTGTGGACACTCTAGAGGCCAAAGTTAATATCTGATTGACTTTAAATTTATACACAGTGTTTAAGGTTAGAGATGAAGAGGTCTATTGATTTTCAGCAATTTCCGATAATTACTGCCAGAGTTATGGCCCTTTATCATTTCAAAATATCTTGTGGATGCTCTAGAAGCTAAAGTTATCATCCGATTGACTTTAAATTTATACACAGTGTTTAAGGTCATGAGACGAAGAAGTCTATTCATTTTCAGCGATTTTCGATAATTACTGCCAGAGTTATGGCCGTTGATCACTTCAAAAAATCTTGTAAATGCTCTAGAGGCTAAAGTTAATATCCGATTGACTTTAAATTTATACACAGTGTTTGAGGTCATGAGACAAAGACCCATATTGATTTTCAACGATTTCCGATAATTACTGCCAAAGTTATGGCCCTTGATCACTATGTGACACTATAGAGGCTAAAGTAATCATCCGATTGACTTCAGGTTGATACACAGAGTTTAAGGTCTTGAGACGAACAAGTATATGATGTTAAAAGTTTCGTATACTAAAGGTTAGCATGGGGCAGAACTTTATAAAAACCAAACAAATTCTAATGGTTTTCTGATAATTACGGAATGAGTTGTTACTCTTAATCAGATTTTAATGTATTATAAATGTTTCATTACCAAAAAAATTAAAAATATGCGACAACTCTTGTTGACTGCCCGGACCATTTAGCTGCTGTGGGCGTATGTTTTGTTGCCTAGCAACCTATCTTGAAAAATCTTGTGATGCTCTAGAGGCTAAAGTTGTCATCCGATTGACTTCAGATTGAAATGAAATGGGGTTTAACGTCCTACTGGACTTCAGATTGATACACAGAGTATCTGATTTTAAAAACTGTTCAAATATATCACCATTACATTAAATGATGGTTGGGTTCGAAATTCATGAAAATTGGACCAAAACTGTCCAACAAAAAGTATGTAGTACCAAGGTTGTGGACCCTCTAGAGGTCACAATTTTTATGCGATTTTGATGATACTTAAAATATATTATTATATCTCAAACAAAGATCTTGGTTCCAAAACAGACAGTAAGCCTTTTGGGCATGATTTAAAGAGTTATCTGCCACTTAGCCATTACCTTTAATACGCTTTAGTATTTCAAGTTGCAAATCCATATTTTTCAGATTGTTGTTTGCGGCTTCAAGAGTAGGCCATATGCCAGAATTATTTCAAATGATAAGTCGTAAATTTCTCACTCCATGGCCAGCTATTATATTTTGTGTAAGTATTGTTATATTTACAGTACAACTTATCTTGTTTATATAAACTTAGTGACAATGATGATAGCCAATACAGGCTATAATAGTGTGTCGCTTACAATCAACTACAATGCTGATATTATCAGGTGTTTGAATCATTGCCTAAAAGACAGATATTCAGGTGTCCACGTTAGTGCTTGTAACACTGATATTCAGGTGTTCACTTTATTTTCGTTCGTTATAATAATTGTCATAAACCTATATTTTACAGAGTATTCCAGCATTTCTGGTTTTAATGTATGGAAATATTATCATATTTATTGATACTATTAGTCTGTTTGCTTGTTTAATGGTGTCTGCAGTTCTTGTAGCTTTACTATATCTGAGATACAAGAAGCCAAATATTAAACGTCCATTTAGAGTAAGTAATCGATACATTATTTGTGCACAATTATCCAACTCAATTTAAATATTTACTTACAAAACATAGAATCTAAAAAAAAAGAATAAATGTTAAAAAACACAACACAATTTATATGGAAAACAAATACTGGTTTATACATATATAGCACAACTAAAAGGCAATATTGTATCACTATAAATATTACCTTTTAGTTTACTAATTATCATTTGTGCTTGATAACGATAAGAGAATACTTGTCGAAATGTCGTACTAAATGTGTTTAAACCGGTGATTTTTTTGTGGTTTTTTTTAATGTCCTCAATCACTAACTGACTTTTACTGTACTTAGACTGAAGCATAAAGAGAGTTTTTATTTATCATATATCTGTTTATTTGCAGGTACCAATTATTTTACCTATATTGATGTTATTTATAGATATTCTTTTATTAAGTATGTCTATATATAAAAAACCTCAAGAACTGGGAACATGTCTGTTTATTTTATCACTCAGTTTACCTGTTTATCTCGTTACTGTTGTATGGAAAAACAAACCTAAAAAATTTCAAGATTTAATGGGTAAGAATAGATTTTTATATGGCCACATTTTCATGTAGACGTATTATGCCGTCACCTCTGCAACAGTTTGTGGTGGCACGGTTTGAGTTCGAACCCGTCGTCCAAGTTTATCCCAAAGGCGTTCGATTGGATTCATGTCGAGAGACATAGCGGGCCAATCCATAACACGGACATGGTGATTGTTCAGAAAGTCTCTTGTCAACATGACAGTGTGGGTCGGGCATTGTCATACTGGAAAACCATCTGTCGACGGACGCCATGTTGAGCCAGCAATGGAAGCAACACTGGACGAAGGATGGCGTCAACATAATTCAACATAATGTTGAGCATTGAGATTGCCTTGGACCACCACCAACTGGGACCTTAAGTTGACGTTGATAGCGCCCCAAACCATGACGCCACCTCCCCCGAAACGATCCCTTTCCAGCACACAGTTACGAGCAACGGGTTCATGTCGACGTCGGTAGATACGCTGACGTCCATCAGGAAAACTGAGGTTGAATCAGGATTCGCCATGGTGTGTTGTGCAGATACCCCTGATTTGTGGCCCATTGCTGTCTGGCAAGTCGATGACGATGCAAAAGGATTTGACCTTGGTAAGGTAGACAGCAGCGTAACCCAAGAGCAGCCAGGTGCCTTTGGACTGTTTGAGGGCTGATCTGACGTTGCCGTGTTCGAACAGTTCCTCTGACAGTATCAGTAGCTGACTGGAACTTATTGCGCACATGCTGTAGTCGGATGTGGCGATGTTGAGCAGCGGTTGTTACAGGTTGCGCTCCAGGTCGGGGTCGATCGGCAACTTTTCCAGTGGCGTGGAAGCGTTGTCTGAGGCAAGCAATGGTCGATGGGTGGACATTAAAGTGTCTGGCGACGGCTACCTGTGAAGCCCCCTGATCCAGCATGCCAATGGCTCTGTTCCTGTTTTCTTGTGTAAGGCATGGCATTTTTCTGAAGTGATGATTGTTGAAATT